GAATGATGTTGCATCGATATTTGCATAAACAAAAACCAAAAACCCGATGTGAAAGGAACAGGGTGGCCTTGGGGTGGGGTTTTAGCTTTCGCGCGACGCGCCGTGGACGACCCCCTTGGGTCGAGGCGCGGCGCTTCAGTTGGCAAGCCCTAAACCCCAAAACCCTAAACCCTAAAACCCCTAAACCCCTACACCCTAAAACCCTAAACCCTAGAAAGCCCTGCCTTCCATTCTTTCAGAGTCCGCCTGGTTCATCTGGCAGCCCATAGTTTCCACCTCGCAGGGCTAAGATTTCAGGAGGTCTCGGGGCTTTTAAGAAGTTTTTTAGGGTTTAGGTTTACAGGGTTTCTGTTGAAGGTTTAGGCTTGTGGGCTTTGTAATAAGCTTCCTTTCAGGGTTTAGGCTTTAGGGCTTTATATAAGGCTTACGTTAAGGGTTTAGGGTTTAGAGCTTTATATAAGGCTTCCTTCAAGGGCTTCTTCAAGACTTCCGTTCAGAGCTCTATAAGTAAGGGGCGTACTGGGGTCTCCAGAGTTTAAGGCACGATATGCTATTTTGAGGGTTTTTCAGATTCTCCTTACGGTCTTAGAATGCTGACAGGGCGCTTCAGGCTGAAAAGGGTGCAGGGAATGCAGAGATGGTTTATAGGGTTTACGCTTTAAGGCTTCAGGCTCTTCAGGTTTAGGGTGTGCTGCAGGCTGCCATAGGGTTTTCGATGGCTTCTGGGGCCCGGGTTCTGAGATTTCATACCTTGGGCTCTCAGGGAGAAGGTTTTAGGACTCTTCAGGTCCAGGCTGTCGGGCTACCTCAAAGAGTCCAAAACCCCAAGAACCTATAAACCCTAAATCCTGAACCCTAAACCCTAGACCCTGAACCCTAAACCCTAAATCCTGAACCCTAAACCCTGAACCCTAAATCCTAAGCCCTAAATCCTAAGCCCTAAATCCTGAACCCTAAACCCTAAACCCTAAACCCTAAAGACCCTAAACCCTAAACCCTAAAGGCCCTAAAACCCTGAACCCTAAAGACCCTATTCCCTAAAGGCCCTAAACCCTGAACCCTAAAGGCCCTAAACACTAAATCCTGAACCCTAAGCCTTTAACCCTGAACCCCAAACCCTAAGCCCTAAAACCCTAAATCCTGAACCCTAAAGACCCTAAACCCTAAACCCTAAAGGCCCTAAACCCTGAACCCTAAACCCTAAACCCTGAACCCTAAACCCTAAACCCTAAAGGCCCTAAATCCTGAACCCTAAACACTAAACCCTAAACTTTAATCCCCTAACCTCCCAAAGTTGAAAATGAGACCCGAACCTAAGGACTTTAGGAGGGACTCCTAATAAGGACCCTTAACCCCAATAACCTACAAGGGTCCCTATTAAGGGTCCCTCCTAAAGCCCTTAGACCGA